GCTGTGCACCGCGTCTTCCTACAGTAAGACCAGCTGTGCACCGCGTCTTCCTACAGTAAGACCAGCTGTGCACCGCGTCTTCCTACAGTAAGACCTGCTGTGCACCGCGTCTTCCTACAGTAAGACCAGCTGTGCACCGCGTCTTCCTACAGTAAGACCAGCTGTGCACCGCGTCTTCCTACAGTAAGACCTGCTGTGCACCACGTCTTCCTACAGTAAGACTGTTGTACATGGGGCTCTTGCAGAATATAACTCTACTAATAATTTTAATTATATTGTCTTTCAGTCGTGTGCTAAGCTTACACTCGAAGAAATTAATGAAACCTGGTGCAAATTTCGATACACTTTTTGCCCTTGTGTGTGTCGTCCTGACACAGTTTGACCTTATAAATTAGGGTATCATTGATACGTGTAGGAAGTGTCGCTATTGGGACAATACGACAACTTTGTTTTGTGAGTGTCCGGTGAACGTGATACCCGAGATTGCTAAGTAACCATCATTAGTGCCTCTAAATAATTAAATTTGTATCGACCATGTTTCTTGTACCATCGTTAGCACTGATACAATGTACAATATATGGAAAATATTCTGCTAATGTGACCAGCTGTCAGTCATTATCATTTATTGTGTGTGTATAAGTACCTACACAAGGTTGTGCACATTGCACACAATGTTGAGCTTATTGTACACTATATTGAGCACACTGTACACAAAATTATACACACTGTACACAATATTGTACACATTGTAAACAATATTGTACACAATGTACACACTGTACACAATATTGTACACACTGTACACAATATTGTACACAATATTGCACACACTGCACACAATATTGCACACACTGCACACAATATTGTACACACTGTACACAATATTGTACACACTGCACACAATATTGCACACACTGTATACAATATTGTACACAATATTGCACACACTGCACATAATATTGTACACACTGTACACAATATTGTACACATTGTAAACAATATTAACCGTGCAGGCTGGCTGAGGTGCTGGGCGGGGAGGACGTGTCGGTGCAGCTGCGGTGGCCGTCGTTCCTGCTGATGGCCAGCAAACCTGCGCCCTGAACGCCTTACTGATAGCAAAATATTTGTGTTTAGCGATACAATAACCGCCCTCAATGCTATTCCTACCTACAAACCTGGTGATAAAAATTGTCAGTAGACAGGGGCCGTATCTATGTATCGATCCAAATCTATACCTTAACCGCCCTCAATGCTATTCCTACCTACAAACCTGCGCCCTGAACGCCTTATTGATAGTACAATCATTGTGTTTAGCGATACAATAACCGCCCTCAATGCTATTCCTACCTACAAACCTGCGCCCTGAACTACTTATTGATGTTACAATCATTGTTTTTAGCGATACAATAACCGCCCTCCATGCTATTCCTACCTACAAACCTGCGCCCTGAACAACTTATTGATAGTACAATCATTGTTTTTAGCGATACAATAACCGCCCTCAATGCTATTCATACCTACAAACCTGCGCCCTGAACGACTTATTGATAGTACAATCATTGTGTTTAGCGATACAATAACCGCTCTTAATGCTATTCCTACCTACAAACCTGGTGATAAAAATTGTCAGTAGACAGGCGCCGTATCTATGTATCGATCCAAATCTATACCTTAATCGCCCTCAATGCTATTCATACCTAAACACCTCGTAACAAGAATTGTCAGTTATCAGACGCCGTATTTTTATAACGATCCAGATATTTTTAGATATGTTAACCGCCCTTAATGCTATTCGTACCTAAAGACCTAATAACAAGAATTGTCAGTTATCAGATGCAGTATTTTTATAACGATTCAGATGTTATTATCAATACAATAACCGCCCTCAATGCTATTCCTACCTAAACACCTGGTAACAAGAATTGTGAGTTATCAGACGCCATATTTTTATAAAGATCCAGATGTTTATAGATACACTATCCGCCTTTAATGCTATTCGTACCTAAACACCTCGTAGCGAAGGTTGCTTTCAGTAGAGAGTCGTTGGTTAAAGTCAACATCGAAATGCCTGTAAGATGATGATTATTTTTATTATTATTATTATTATTATTATTTTACTTAATATCTTCATTCAGTTATGATGAACATTAATCTTACGACAGCAATTCTTTGCTGCCCGCGAGGAATAAGCAGCTTTCAGCTGTAAAATAAACTTTTCATTTAGTTGTTTACAGAAACGACAATGTAATATGTACCTGTTGAGAAATTTTATTACTGCGTTCCTAACCAATTCATTTCGTGTGTGCCATAAATAGTAATGCATTGATAAAGTTTAAGAAATTTTCAGCAGCCTAGACAAATATTGTAAAGATTTATCAACAAACAGCAAACTTTTGTCTGACCAACCGTTATAGAATGGATAAAAAAATATAACTCAGTACTCACTGCAGTGAGTGACAGGAGCGCATTTTCTCGTCAACGAAAACGTGAAGTCACGGACGGACAGACTGATGGGCGGACGGACGGACAGACATGACGAGCACAATAGGGCATTTTTTCAATAAATGAGAAAATGCGCTAAAAATGATTACACTAAAGACAAGTACCGTTACACATTTCCTCGCCGTTTCTACCAGAATTGTTGGCAGGAAAATGATTATAAGTTTATATGTGGGGTGTCAATATGGTGATCGTACGGATGTTTATTTCGTTACATTTATCTAGTATTGGTGTTTTATGGCCACCCTCTGATGTATTTCATTATGGGTTGCACGTTTGAAGTACTCTTTGATACATTTTTATGTTGAACTAATTTTTATGTTCGCTGTTGGATTATGTACCGTTTTTGTGTTACGTTAAGTTATTCAACTCCTCGTGAGGGACTTCTTACGCTTGTCTGTGCGCGCCAGAAGTCCTATGGGATTTCGCGTTCCTAGGAGGATTGTTCCTGAGCGCCCCACCGCTGAGCTCGCGGTGTCTTACTGTAGGTCTCAGTTGTGGGGTTAAGTTATTATGTAGGTAGGATTCCTTACATTAAGTTATTATGTAGGCAGGATTCCTTATATTAAGTTATTATGTAACTCCTTGTCACTTCGTCTCTTTGAGATGCTAACGCTGCTTCTTTCGCGCCAGCTTCAGCGGGCTGGACACTTGAGACCTCCCGACTTCTGTCGTTTATGATTAACTTGATAAATTTTCAACTTGACTTAACTTAAGTTGACTTGACTAAACTTAACTTGATAAATTTTCACTAATTGAGGCCCTCCGTCCCTTGTTATTCATGATTAATTCGAGATTTTTAACAATTGATACTGGTAACTTTTGACCTCCGGTGCGAAATAGCTTGAAGCGCTAGCAAACCATTCTATTACCTACTTATGTTACTCAAAAACTTTATTTAGCATTTTAATTTATTAAATTTCGTGCCGGAAAAAATGTACAATTTTATTGGTTTAACGTTTTACGCAATTTTATTTAGCCTTTTAATTTTTAAATTTCGTGCCGGAAAAAATTTACAATTTTATTGGTTTAACGTTTTACGCAATTTTATTTAGCCTTTTAAATTCTAAATTTCGTGCCGGAAAAAATGTATTATTTTATTTTGTGGAACGTTTTACCTAACTTTAGAATATTTGTTGTTGTTTTATGGCTGTTTTAATGAGCCTATTGTTATCTCATTGTTATGGGAGAAGATTTATGAACTTACAAGTAACTGTTTCTACGTAATTGTATTAATGCAGGATTGTTCACTACATTATTCCAGTGTTATGCGTTATTCTATTGGGATTTTCTTTGATTGAGTTCATTGTTCAATATTCCTCTTGGTTATCGTGGGATGTTAATTGCCTATTGATTTATTTCTTATTATAATCAAGTAAGAATTTGGCCACGATGTTTTCCTGGAAAACTTGTAAAGTTTTCAAAATAAAATTATTAATGCTGTGATGATTTTCAACTAGTCTTTTTTTTTATTGAAGAAAAGTGGTTACCCCGATGGCTCGAGGAAAAGCTCCACATTGAATTAAAAAATATATATATATATATATACGATCTTTATAATGTCTTTGCCACTAAATTATATAGTCATTGTCAATATATTTCAAATTTCTTTCGTATTTCCATCACTTACATCTCACGTATTGTTGATGAATGCTAACCCTTTGTATTCAAATTTTTGCTCTACATTTTTACATAGAAATAACGAATCTTTCAATCAAGTTATTCAAAACCAGTGCGATTTTTGTACGCAGTAACAACTATCCCATCAATGCATCCAAAAACCCAACTAAATTGGCGCTTAGTACGCGAATGCACTAACTTAAGCTAATGTTATCGTTTTGTCAAGGCTACGAGAGTTGCACTCAATGTATTGAAGAGTTAAAAATGAGGTTCTGATGCTAACAGTTAATTTGAATTGTGGTTTAATCTTTTAATGTCGTTTTGTAACTTCGGTATAATGTTTCTTGACTTCGTAATTCGTTGACTCTTAACTTGTCAGCTCCGACATCGTCGAACATCGCGTTGGTCAAACTCGTGCATTTCTTGTCCAAGATAACATTTTTTATTGAAAAATATTCTTTCTCGGCGCAGGGCTGCGCGGCCTCCCGAGTGTGCAGTAAATTAACCCTCTACCGCCGTATGTCACTCTCCGGGAACATAACTTTCAACTTAACCCTCTACCGCCGTATGTCACTCTCCGGGAACATAACTTTCAAGTGCAAGTCATTTTGCGCTCACTAGAACGTATCCTTTTTGGGAAGTAGGCGCGTGACAATATTGCTCCTGTTACTAATATTATTATGTTTTTTTAGTAATATTAATATACTACTAATATTGCTCCGGTTACTCATTTCGGGCGGTAGGGGGTTTACCAGCAAAGTGCGCGCCATCTTGGCTTATTAATCTCAAATGGACTTGTTTTTTTATATTCTTACTTTTTATCTAATTATCATTTATTAACAAGGTTTCAAAATTAACTCAAAATGAATATTGGGGTCATTATTAATCAGTAATGTTTTGAGACAGCCTATGTACAATATTGAATTATTACGTTAAGCTGTAAACTTATCGGACTTTCTTCCATTAAGTTGATATTATATACACGAAGCCAATTTAATAAAAGCCATATCTAGTAACCCCCCCGTGCCATCTCGCCCTTGTCGTGGGGGGGGGGCTTGCGTGTCTCGATGAGACCCGAGGCTGTGCGGTCTCAGATGCAATCATGGCCGAAATTGATTTATTTCTTATTATAATCAAGTAAGAATTTGGCCACGATGTTTTCCTGGAAAACTTGTAAAGTTTTCAAAATAAAATTATTAATGCTGTGATGATTTTCAACTAGTCTTTTTTTTATTGAAAAAAATTGGTTACCCCGATAGCTCGAGGAAAAGCTCCACATTGAATTAAGAAAAATTTATACATACGATCTTTCTTTATAATGTCTTTGCCAATAAATTATATAGTCTTTGTCAATATATTTCAAATTTCTTTCGTATTCCCATCACTTACATCTCACGTATTGTTGATGAATGCTAACCCTTTGTATTTATAATTTTGTTCTACATTTTCACATAGAAATATCGAATCGTTTAATAATGTTATTCAAAACCAGCGCGATTTTTGTACGCAGTAACAACTATCCCATCAATGCATCCAAAAGCCTAACTAAGTTTGCGCTTAGTACGCGAATGCACTAACTTAAGTTTATGTTATCGTTTTGTCAAGGCTAGAAGAGTTACACTCAATGTATTAACGAATTAAATACGAGGTCTTGATGCTAACAGTTATTTGGAGTTGTGGTTTAATCTTTTAAAGTCGTTTTGTGACTTCGGTATGATGTTTCTTGACTTTGTATTTTGTTGACTCTTAACTTATCAGCTCCGTCATCGTCGAACATCGCGTTAGTCAAACTCGTACATTTCTTGACCAAGATAACATTTTTTTATTGAAAAATATTTTTTTCCGGCGTAGGGCTGCGCGGCTTCCAGAATTTTAGTAGATTAACCCTCTGCCGCCGTATGTCACTCTCCGGGATCATAAATTTCAACGTAAATTATACGTAAACTATTTAGTTTAGCAACTTGAGGACGTTGGTACGCAACAGAGAACACTTTAAAGTTGTCGTACGTGGCGGCAACCACCAGTGCAAGTCATTTTGCGCTCACTAGAACGTATCCTTTTTTGACAAAATTACTCCGGTTACTAAGGTTATTATGTTTTTTTTAATAATATTAATATACTACTAATATTGCTCCGGTTACTCATGTTAGGCGGTGGAGGGTTAACCAGCTGAGTGCGCCATCAGGGTTCGGTAATAAGGTTTCGAAATGAACTCAAAATGAATATTAGGGCATTATTAATCAGTAATTTTTTTGAGACAGCCTATGTACAATATTGAATTATTACGTTAAGCTGTAAACGTATTGGACTTCCTTCCATGAAGGCTTCTATAGAGTTAATATTACCTATGTACACGAGGACAATTTAATGAAGGCCAAATCTAGTAGCAATGATTGAGTTCAGAACTTTATAAATAATAAAATTAGGAGCCAATATATAAGCAATCAATAGCAAGAGGACATGAAGATCAGACCAGGAAACTAGTACCAGTTAAACAATCTTTTAATGTTATTTAATATTGAAGTTACCCTTCGATTATCAGAATTTCTTTTTGACATGTTAATTTGACGCTGAGAACGACGTAGCGAGGTTTTTTAGCGTTTTGACTTTAGTTTTGTCTTTATTAATTACAGGAAAGATGATGATTTCGTCGACTCAAACCCGAAATTTTTCAATAATATAGAAAAAATTTCTGTTGATATATCAACGATTTGTGGAACCTGAGAAACAATCAACCTACTAACATAAAACCACACTCGTTAGTTAAATTAAAAAAAAATCATAAGCTTAACTTATTTTGAGCGAAGTCCCTGAACTATACATACGAATTAACTACTCATTATTGATAATAAGAACATCAACGGTGACATTCTCACGCACTACGACTAATTAATCGACAACGGAATGTAATATCTCGGCCATATTAAGGCCAATTATTATTAGTTAAAAGCGTTTTTATTGGGAAAGAAAAAGAGGAATGAAAGAAATAGCGCGAACATGGAAATGAACATGACTTTAGCGTGTGAATAGAGTGAACATGACATTAGTGTGAGATATTAGCGAGTAAATAGCGTGAACATGGGAATGAACATGATTTTAGCGTGTGAATGGCGTGAACATGACATTAATGTGAGATATTAGCGAGTAAATAGCGTGAACATGGGAATGAACATGACTTTAGCGTGTGAATAGCGTGAACATGACATTAGTGTGAGATATTAGTGAGTAAATAGCGTGAACATGACATTAGTGTGAGATATTAGCGAGTAAATAGCGTGAACGTTGAAGTGAACATGATGTTTGTTGAAACACATGAGCAGACGCTACGTAATGATAACGACGCACTACACAGCATACATATCCAACATGTAATGATAGACCCCGTAATGATAAGGATGATGGCCTACACATCATCCTTGTCCTGCAGCCATGGCCTGCAGACGGGCAGGCTGTGGGGGTAGTGGGCGTCGCGCTTGAGGGCCGGGGCGTCGGGGTCGCGGTGCGGGTAGGTCGCTAGCATGATGGGCAGCTGCAGCTTCACGGCCTTCTCCAGCCCTGCAGGCTCGATGATGAACTGCGCAAACATTATTATTTAATTAATATTATTACTGCTATTAATTTATTGTCGTTTAGTAACATGCTTTTTGATCTCCCGGCGCCAGCAAGAAATTTTGTTCGACACACTGAAAAAAACAAATAAGATTGTTGAGGTGGTCTTCAATAAAAAAGACCACCTTCAAGCTTCAAGTGGTCTTCAATAAAAAAAACTACACGCATGATGAACTGCAATCATTTTATTATTAGGAACTCGGGAGTCACTTGCCACTCACGACACGCAGCCTGCCACTCATTAGCTTCACGCAGCCTGCCACTCATGACACGCAGGCTGTCACTCACTACACAAGCAGGCTGTCATTCACTACACAAGCAGGCTGTCACTCACTACACAAGCAGGCTGTCATTCACTACACAAGCAGGCTGTCATTCACTACACAAGCAGGCTGTCATTCACTACACAAGCAGGCTGTCATTCACTACACAAGCAGGCTGTCANGCACGGGTACGTCTGATGTACCCCGCCAGTACCCACACGTACCTCAGTAAGACAGGCACGGGTACGTCTGATGTACCCCGCCAGTACCCACACGTACCTCAGTAAGACAGGCACGGGTACGTCTGATGTACCCCGCCAGTACCCACACGTACCTCAGTAAGACAGGCACGGGTACGTCTGATGTACCCCGCCAGTACCCACACGTACCTCAGTAAGACAGGCACGGGTACGTCTGATGTACCCCGCCAGTACCCACACGTACCTCAGTAAGACAGGCACGGGTACGTCTGATGTACCCCGCCAGTACCCACACGTACCTCAGTAAGACAGGCACGGGTACGTCTGATGTACCCCGCCAGTACCCACACGTACCTCAGTAAGACAGGCACGGGTACGTCTGATGTACCCCGCCAGTACCCACACGTACCTCAGTAAGACAGGCACGGGTACGTCTGATGCTGTCTCTTATACACATCTAGATGTGTATAAGAGACAGTCCGTGCCCCCCGTGGGTATCCTGCCCCTCGCGGCACTCGCCAGCTCCCGCAGCTCCGTCTCGACCACCTTGTTGCCACTCATGTACTGAATAGTCTGCGAGTGGCGGGAAAATTCAATTAAAAATAAATAAATTATTTAAAATTAATTTAAATGAAGGAAAGAAAAGCACAAATGAATGGATCGAAAATGAATAAAAGAAAGAGACAAATGAATGGAACGTATATTAATGAGAAGAAGGGATAAATGAATGAAGGGAAGAGATAAATGAATGGAAGGGAAAATGAATGAGAAGAGATGAATGAAATAAATTAAAATGAAGGAAAGTAAAGCACAAATTAATGGAACGAATATGAATGAGAAGAAGGGATAAATGAATGGAAATAAAATGAAGGAAAGAAAGAGACAAATGACTGGAACGAAAATGAATGAAGGGAAGAGACAAATGAATGGAACTTATATTAATGAGAGGAAGGGAAAATGAATGGAATTAAAATGAATGAGAGGAAGGGAAAATGAATGGAATGAATATGAATGAAGGAAAGAAAGAGACTCATGAATGAAACGAAAAAGAAATAAGGGAAGAGACAAATGGATGGAATGGAAATGTATGAGGAGAGATAAATGAATTGCACAGTTGACATTAAACGTTTCTTTTTCATTATAAGAAGAAATTGACAAATGCGCAGCAAAACAAGGAGCAACAAGTACCCCGCTAGTACCCTCACGTACCTCGGTAAGACAGGCACGGGTACGTCTGATGTACCCCGCCAGTACCCTCACGTACCTCGGTAAGACAGGCACGGGTACGTCTGATGTACCCCGCCAGTACCCACACGTACCTCAGTAAGACAGGCACGGGTNTGCTGTAATACCAGTACCAGCCTTAATACCAGCTGCTGTAATACCAGTACCAGCCTTAATACCAGCTGCTGTAATACCAGTACCAGCCTTAATACCAGCTGCTGTAATACCAGTACCAGCCTTAATACCAGCTGCTGTAATACCAGTACCAGCCTTAATACCAGCTGCTGTAATACCAGTACCAGCCTTAATACCAGCTGCTGTAATACCAGTACCAGCCTTAATACCAGCTGCTGTAATACCAGTACCAGCCTTAATACCAGCTGCTGTAATACCAGTACCAGCCTTAATACCAGCTGCTGTAATACCAGTACCAGCCTTAATACCAGCTGCTGTAATACCAGTACCAGCCTTAATACCAGCTGCTGTAATACCAGTACCAGCCTTAATACCAGCTGCTGTAATACCAGTACCAGCCTTAATACCAGCTGCTGTAATACCAGTACCAGCCTTAATACCAGCTGCTGTAATACCAGTACCAGCCTTAATACCAGCTGCTGTAATACCAGTACCAGCCTTAATACCAGCTGCTGTAATACCAGTACCAGCCTTAATACCAGCTGCTGTAATACCAGTACCAGCCTTAATACCAGCTGCTGTAATACCAGTACCAGCCTTAATACCAGCTGCTGTAATACCAGTACCAGCCTTAATACCAGCTGCTGTAATACCAGTACCAGCCTTAATACCAGCTGCTGTAATACCAGTACCAGCCTTAATACCAGCTGCTGTAATACCAGTACCAGCCTTAATACCAGCTGCTGTAATACCAGTACCAGCCTTAATACCAGCTGCTGTAATACCAGTACCAGCCTTAATACCAGCTGCTGTAATACCAGTACCAGCCTTAATACCAGCTGCTGTAATACCAGTACCAGCCTTAATACCAGCTGCTGTAATACCAGTACCAGCCTTAATACCAGCTGCTGTAATACCAGTACCAGCCTTAATACCAGCTGCTGTAATACCAGTACCAGCCTTAATACCAGCTGCTGTAATACCAGTACCAGCCTTAATACCAGCTGCTGTAATACCAGTACCAGCCTTAATACCAGCTGCTGTAATACCAGTACCAGCCTTAATACCAGCTGCTGTAATACCAGTACCAGCCTTAATACCAGCTGCTGTAATACCAGTACCAGCCTTAATACCAGCTGCTGTAATACCAGTACCAGCCTTAATACCAGCTGCTGTAATACCAGTACCAGCCTTAATACCAGCTGCTGTAATACCAGTACCAGCCTTAATACCAGCTGCTGTAATACCAGTACCAGCCTTAATACCAGCTGCTGTAATACCAGTACCAGCCTTAATACCAGCTGCTGTAATACCAGTACCAGCCTTAATACCAGCTGCTGTAATACCAGTACCAGCCTTAATACCAGCTGCTGTAATACCAGTACCAGCCTTAATACCAGCTGCTGTAATACCAGTACCAGCCTTAATACCAGCTGCTGTAATACCAGTACCAGCCTTAATACCAGCTGCTGTAATACCAATACCAGCCTTAATACCAGCTGCGACCAGGTGTTACTACTTCACTCTGCTACACCAAAAAAAGACGTTAATACCAGGCGCTGCAACACCAGTAGCAAATGAGTTCTTTAAGAGGAATGCTTCAGTATTAGTTCCTATGTCAAAGCTCTATTTACTGTTAAACAATAAATGGTTTGAATAGTAAAGCGTCCTTACTGTAAAGCGAATGAGATTTCGCCCGAATAGTACTTTATACGATTATCCAACGTTTATTAATGTTACGGGGTAGGCATGGAAAGCCGATTAGTCTCAAATGGTTATGTGAGAACCGTAATATATTGAAACTAATGGTTAATGGAACGCCAATCTCGTTGATATTGGGTAAAAATTAGTGAAGAAATCCTATACTGAGGGAGTATGTCCTAAGGCTTTTCCAATAAAACCATTACCTCGCAAGACCGTCCCAGAAAATCCTACTAAGAGAGGCTAGCCACAAAAGTATCAAAGATATTTCGAGGTGCTCGCTGATCGGCTCGTACAAAGTAAAGATAATTATACTAAAAAGATAGCGTACCAGCATTGATCGTATCAGCATTGACGTATCAATGCCAACAAGAGAGGCTAGCAACAGATGTATCAAAAATATTTCGATGTACTCGCTGATCGGCTTATAGAAAGTAAAGAAAATGATAGTACTAAAGAAGATAGCGTACCAGCATTGACGTATCAATCCAAACACGAGAGGCTAGTCACAAAAGTATCAAAGATATTTCGAGGTGTCGGCTGATTGGCTTGGTAAAAAGAGAGATAATAAAAAAAAAAACAAAGATAATGATACTAATGATAGCGAATCAGCATTGCAAAGAATGTGTATCACTTACGGCGAGTATGGAAGGCTCGAGGTTGAGGTCTATGGGGTTCATGACGATGAAGACCTGCTGGTTCTTGTGTGTCAGGCCCCCCGCCTCCTTCAGCGCCGCCCTACAGAAGTACTGCACCCAGCCGTGCTTGCCCAGGAACGTGGAGGGCAGCCCCAGGGGCAGCCCCAGCTTGAAGGGGAAACTGTGGATGCCGGGGGAGAGCGGGATGGGTCCTTGGTCTGTTGATAGGATCACAAAATTTGGGTTGAAAGTCCGCTAAAACATGCGAGTAATGGATAAGCGTTGAGTCCAGCAGAAATGGAATGCTAGTCACAGTTCAAAATGTGACCATGTTTAGCACGAGAATTTTGTTATTTTGATGCGTTGTTTATAAGCTCCACAGATGAAGTTATTATTTGTTACAATTAACTCCGATTTTTAAGCTAAATTTATTAGTCGTCATCCGTAGATTTATTTTATATTCGTCCTTAGATTTGTATTTGTGTTATCCTCTGACGTTGATTCCATTCTATTAGACGCCCCATGAAACTCAAGTGTTTACGCGCTGTGTTGTAGAGTTTTAGTGCCCCATTGTGACGTAATGGACTTTCCAGGTGCCCATTTTAGCACTCACAGTTCTTGCAGGAGCAGGAGGCTGGATGACCTCAAAAGCAATCACAAACTCAGTAACAATCCAATCGAAGGAGTAGCTTAAGTTTAACCCTCTACCGCCTGACACGAGTAATCAGAGCAATATTAATTGTCACAATCATACTTCCCGAAAAGGATACGTTCTAGTGAGCGCAAAATGGCTTGCACTGATGGTTGCCGCCACGTACAACTTTAAAATGTTCTATGTTGCGTACAAACGTCCTCAGGTTGCTACGCTCAATAGTTCACGTATAATTTAAGTTGAAAGAGTTGTTCCCGGGGTGTGACATACGGCGGTAGAGGGTTGAAAAGAGCTCTTCTTCGTGTTGACTACTTGTTCGGGTTGGAAGTGCAGAAAATCTACCGATGAGAAAGCTGTTACGATTCTTGCCTACTAACGGGCTAAACTTTTGCCACGACAACAGTTACCTGTGTGGTCTAGTTGAGACTGGTAATAGTTCTGTATGGTTGGTGTAAACCCAATTTCAGACACCAACAAAAGATTAAACCTGCATGATTATGCGCTAAGCGCCTTTTTCGTCTCCTCCTGTCTTTTCCTGTTCTCTTCCATCGTTCTGTCCATCTGGCCACCTCTTGCTCATTTCAATCTTTCCTAGTGGTACCACATTATCACCAATAGAAGGTTGTTGTTGTGGTTCTTCCCCAGACCCTGTCACGTCATGAAATAGATTTCGTGGAAGAATGGCCCTACCTTCACACCACAACGTATGAGAGGAAGCTAAGCGGGGACGCTCCCTGTGAGGCTGAGAGCTCCTGCCGAAGGAGTTTGGTGGCGCTGATGCCAGAAAATTGGTCAACTTAAATGTCGAGGACGTCTCCTAGGATTGTGACTTTTTATCTTTGATTACGTGCTTGGAAAGTGTTGTTTGAGTGCCGCCAAGAATGATTGCCGAGTATTGAATAAACTTGTAGGGACCTCAATTGTTGACTTTTATTACGTCATTGAAAAATATTGATTCCACTCAATAATTAAACCAGTTTTATTTCAACCAAATTGATTCTATATTGTGCGGACAACCAGGAATGGATTTTAAATTAGAATTGTTTAATTAGAATTAGAAAGCAAGCCTACTAACGGGCTAAACTTTTGCCACGACAACAGTTACCTGTGTGGTCTAGTTGAGACTGGTAATAGTTCTGTATGGTTGGTGTAAACCCAATCCCAGACACCTACAAAAGATTTAACCTCTATTATGCGCTAAGTGCCTTTTTCGTCTCCTACTGTCTTTTCCTGTTCTCCATCGTTCTGTCCATCTGGCCACCTCTTGCCTTTATTTCAATTTTTCCTAGTGGCTAGTGGTACCACATTATCACCAACAGAAGGTTGTTGTAGTGGTTCTTCTCCGAACCCTGTCACGCCAAGAAACAAATTTCGTGGAAGAATTGTTCTTCCTTCACACCACAACGTATAAGAGGAAGCTAAGCGGGGACGCAGCCTGTGAGGCTCAGAGGTCCTGCTGAGGGAGTTTAGTGGCGCTGAGGCCAGAAAATTGGTCAACTCAAAAATGTCGAGGACTTCTCCTACGATAGTGACTTTTTTCTCTGATGACGTACTTGGAAACAGGGTTGCCAGACGATCTTTTTTCCGCGCAAATTCTGCGATTTAGTTTTTTTCAGTTGCGTTGGACAGCTAAATTTTTGATAGGGGTACTTCCTACTTAAAATTAAAAAACTTCAAAAAATGGAATTTTTACCACGGAACCTACAAATATACAAGTATGCATTGAGTTATATAGGCCTTTTCTGTTCGCGGCCTTCAAAGTTTTTTAGGCCATCTGGTAACCCTGTTTGAAAATTGTTGTTTGTGTGCCGCAAAGAGTGATAGCCGAGTATTTATTGAATAATCTTGTATGGGTTCTCAATTGTTGATTTTTAATAAGTCATAGAAAAACTTGATTCCACTCAATATTCCTAAATAATTAAACAGGTTTTATTTCAACCAAATTGATTCTATATTGTGCGGACAACCAGGAATGGCTTTTAAATTAGAATTGTTTAATTAGAATTAGAAAGCAACAAACATTGTCAACATTTCAGTTTAGGTTGATTTTAGATGAAATTCTGGAAAGATTTTGATAGTAAAATGCTTCACTTTATTGTTAGATGATACGGTTAAAGTTCTACATTTGTAGGTGGATGTATATAAATTTTTAATACAGTTATCTATTGTTGCATTGCGATGATTAGATAACGTGTTATGCTTCTATATGCCGAGGGTTAACTCTCCCCTATCTCATTAGAGGCGTCGATATATTAATTTTTAAAACAGTAGGCAGTTGACAAGTAATCACGCTAATCAGTTAATTGTTATGCACAGGTAAAATGTTTTATTCAATGTTATTTCATTGTAGTTGCACCCGATTGTACTTTTTTAATGTTTAAATGATTAAATCTGTTGATGAAATTGATTAGTTTAATATTTAACTAATATGTCACATGTTAACAGCTGAGCATCGTATAAGTTGGAACAGCAGTTAATATGTTAAACAAATTGTGGTGCTGGACATACCCTTGCTGGAGGCGACCACGCTCTCTGAGTCCAGGGGGTAGTTGGCGTCTGAAATGTTCCTTCAACTTAATGAAATAAATGTAAACTTGTGTGGATACTGCAGCTATAAGTGCATGTACAGCTACAAGTGCATGTACAGCTACAAGTGCAAGTACAGCTACAAGTGCAAGTACAGCTACAAGTGCAAGTACAGCTACAAGTGCAAGTTCAGCTACAAGAACAATTCCAGCTACAAAAACAAGGTCAGCTACAAAAACAAGTCCAGCTACAAGAACAATTCCAGCTACAAGAACAATTCCAGCTAGAACAGGTCCAGCTACATGTTCAGCAAAATTCCTTCAATACGACCGACTGTAAGTCTAGTGTTCAGTGTGCCCATTGAAAAAGAATTAATTTGCTAATCAAATTGCTTTCAGTTGGAGCTTCTCCTTCTTTCCTAATGAAACGCATATTATATTACACATTTTCAGTACCTATATAACATGCGCCGCAAAGGCTTCTTCATAAACAAACTATACACCAAACCAAATAACTTATGGGCTATATAGCCGTCAACCTATAAAATTATCATTAAAATCATTAGCTATACAAAATTTTGGATGCTCGAAGCTGATGCACCGCCTTAGTTGTCCATCATCCCAAAATTTGCTGACAGGTAAATCGTCCTTACTTGTAGGGCCGTGAGGAGCAGCGTAATTTTCCCGTATTTTAGGGTCTATATTTTGTCCTTCCCCCTCTTTTCGTATTGTAGAAAAAATAATCAATCCCACCTAGATGTAAGCAAAAATGTTTCTCTTTGTAGACCATTTCCTTCTTCGCACATGTCCGGTGTTAATCTGGTGTCTCATTCTATTCATTATATTTATATTCTAAGATTACATCATCTGTAATTGAGACGTAATATTCACTAGACGTGGTAGAGATTGATGTAAAACTTCTAGACCTGAGTCAGCATGTACAACATCACGTGAAACATTACGCGATCTAGACCACAGTAGTGGGCGGAAGTCATAAATCTATAAAAGGGCGGGGAACCTAATTAAGTAAGGTCCCCCAGTAACTTACCAGCACGCCGCCATGTAACATTCCTTAGAGCTACTCCGACCTAACGTTCGACGTCTTAGCCTATACCTGTATTGTATCTTTCATGAATTTTCACTCCGTATCAAGAAAAGTTCTATAGAAAGAATTGTTTTACTTATCCCTCACGCATTAGGTCAACGAATCCCTGTCCTCAGGTTCAGGTAGCTTAGAGTTCATACCAACCACATTTTTCTCATACTCACGGACAACGGATTTCCGAGAAGAGTTGGGGCCCATTAGCATGGGATCTGGGCACGTGCCTGACATATGCAAGTTACGATTCAGTCCAATATTCTGTAATGCATATCTATAGAAGCATGCACACCAGCCGTTTAAGACATCTGCCATGCCCATCTTGTGAAAGCTATGGAAATGGATAAAAGAATATTGAACTGGGCCGTGCATGGTATATGCCTGGCACGTGGTGTGAACCCAGCCAAAAAATTTAACATACCAGTCTTGCAATTGATATAATCTCGAGCTAGATCTCCGTCCAAGGCGTCTCAACTATACCATCTATCGATAGTCCAAATGCGTAGTCATCCCGATCCAAAATCAGAAACCAGCTCTATATTTCTAGCATAGAACAGCTTGACCATATTGCATTCCAATGCGAGTATCCTTACGAGATTACTCAGCAGATGCTCAGTGGCGAATTTCATCAGTACAATAACCTAGCTATACTTCAGGCCCAAACCAGTTACAAGGCCAGATTTAACCATCGTATGAAAACACATTCATCACATGAAAATCCCCGTAATGAACCTTGGGTGTCGGTGCTAACAGTTCACTAATATACCTGTACTTCTATTAGCTAAATGGCGCGGTTTTAAGTCTCAATTGTGCACGTATGCTATTGGCAGACTTACCGCCCAGCACCCAACATCCATTGGGCTCTTCCAGCACTATCTGGACTTACCTGGCACCCAACGCCCACCATACACCAATAAACTTTTACAATTCAGCGCCCCTGGGCACCCTCAGAGCTCACTGGTTTACCACAACACCATCAGGATTCAGCTACATGATACCACAACACCCATCAGGATCCAGCTACAGGATACCGTAAAACCCATCAGGTTAAAGCTACAGATCCCCCAACACCCACCAGGCTCTCCCAGGAGGCGCATCCTGAAGTCGATGTAGTTCTCCCGCTCCCGTAGCGTCTGCTGGCGCCGGTCGGTCACCCGCACCACGCCCTCCCCCACCACGTGGAAGTACACCCCTGGGGGACGAAAAGGGGGAGGCTTAGGGTGTAAAGCTTGTCAGGAGTACACGCCAGGTACACGTTACACCAATGCTACTCATCAGCGGTACAAGCAGAGGTGATGGGCAGGGTGGCCCAGTGGTTACAGTTCAGAGTACCAAGATTGGAGCAGAGAGGCGCGGGTTCGATCCCAGCTCTGTGCGCCAGTTTCTGGTCAGAATCGGCGATGAGGCCGGGCGGTTAAATTAAGCACAGCAGAATTTGGAGCAGTGAGTTGTGAGTTCGAGACCGCAACAATTAGGCTGTGGATGTTCTGCATTGTTAAGAATCGACGACACAGGCCTACGGTATAATAAACGCTGAAATCGCTATATAAGCCAGTGACACGTGACACATCACGCCAGCTGCCCGTTTCACAATCACCCGTCATAATCAAGCACCTTCACCACCATAATCATGACCACCCGTGTGAAACACATATCAACAACCACCACAACCTACCATGACAAACACTCACCACCACCATCTCCAACCATATTCAACACTTATCAACAACCACAACAACCAACCATGACACGCACTCACCACCCACACCACCACCACCACCACCATCACCCCCACCACCCACTACCACCCGTATGTAACACTTATCAACAACCACAACAAGCAACCATGACAAACACTCACCACCACCATCTCCAACCATATTCAACACTTATCAACAACCACTACAACCAACCATGACAAACACTTAGCACCCACCACCCACTACCACCATCACCACCACCCACTACCACCCATATTTAACACTTATCAACAACCACCACAACCAACCATGACAAACACTCACCACCCACCACCACCATCACCACCCGTATGTAACCTTATCAACAACCACCACAAGCAACCATGACAAACACCCACCACCCATCACCTCCATCACCACCACCACCACCACCACCACCACCACCCCCCACAACCCACCCGTGACGGGAGTGTCATCCTCGAGTTCGACGATGACGCGTCCCGAGATGAAGTGGCCGGGGAAGTAGAGGAGGCCGGAGTTGTCGAAGAGGATCATGAACTTCTGCAGCTTCCTGACGCCCATTGCGGCCCCGTCAGCAGCTGGCAAGGCTTACAAGATGGGCCTTTTACCGGTAAAATTCAATGATACTGGTCTTTTTCAGGCTAAATTGGTCGTTTTGAGCCTTTTCCAGCCAAATTTGTCGATTTGGCCCTTTTTTCAAGCCAAATTTGCTGATTTTGGCCGTTTTCAGGCCAAATTCACTGATTTATGTTTTTTCCAAATTGAGTTGGCCGGCTAATATATATGTTACTCGTAAAATTGTGTAATTTGTAAATTATAATACATCTTAAAAATTGAACTGTTTCACCGTAAACTACAAATTAATTCTAAATACTAAATTTTAATTGTGACCGTTTAGGTCTTTTTGCGAGCCAGTTTGGCCGTTTTTTTCTTGCCACCATCTGGCAACTTTGGTCACGTCCCTAAATACTTATCACCTCTTATCAGATGAACGTTTCATCACTCATTGATTTGATTACTCTCTAATACTTCTTCACTCATTAATCTGGTTACTTTCTAATACTTTTCACTCATTGGTTTAGTTACTTTCTATACTTCTTCACTCATAGTCTAGTTACTCTCTATTACTTCATCACTGATTGGTTTAGTCACTATTCATCATAATTACTACTCATTTACGACTCACTGCTAGGCCAACCCAACCCATCTGTTGAATTATAACTTTTAACCTGTTGATTAGGAAAACATTCATGGATAAAACATAAATGGTATCAGGTAATTACTTAGTTAGATCACTCGAGTGCCGTTATTATTGTTGCAGTACTCGAGTGCCGTTATTATT